TAAAAAAATGGCGTCAGGTGGATTGACTCTGTATCTTTATCATTTAACGGCTATACAGCTTATAGCTGGTGATGTAATAAAATATAACGTGTTGCCGGGTAGTTGACGACGCAAGAGTCACATACATAAATACTACTCAAAATGTGTGTGATATTATATCTTAACAAGTAGGTAGTGCTAGCGAGATGACAAACTCTGAGCTGAACTCAATAATTAAACGTCTTTCATTGATCGTTTTTCGAGATTTACAAATCATATAGCATGCAAAAGACAAAATATCATTTTCGAGATTCCTCAGAATTACAAAACATCCTCGCCAGTGCCTGGGGCGCCACCTGTGGTACAATAGAATAACTTTTCGCAAAAGTATGTCAAATTATGACCTCTTATAACATGCCGAAATTACAAGTAGTTACTGTATACTTTTGAAAATATAAAATAACAATATGTTTCTTAACAATTTAACACCCCGTAGCTAAGAATTTGAGTCATTCATTGCAAACCATATTTATGTTCGTTTAAACTACTTTTCTAAAATTTCATTACTTTAGCTTCAACCTATAAATACAAAAATATGAGAGATTTTTCTCATATAGATCTAGGTATCTACGTAACACGTTGACTGCTATATCGGTCTCCCGAGACCGTTATCAAACTTCATTTTGATGCGGAGCTGTTTTTTTCAAATTTCCGTTTTGGTGCCGAATGCATATTTCCCTTAATATACAAGTTATAAATGCGAGGCAGCAGCGGTGGCCGCAGTAGTAGACTCTTCGGTCTCCTGATCAGTCGCCGTGCGCTGTGCGGGTTCGAGTCCCGTCCCAGGAGAAATATTTCTCTTGGCTATGGATACTGTGATTGTCCGTAGGTGGTAGACGGTCTCTGACTGTCGAACGCGTAGGTACCACCCGGCGGATCTCGTAGGCGGGGTCAGAATGTGTGCATATGTGTTCCCTCGCCAAAGTCCGTGTGGCGTTCCCCCTTTTCCCTATATCCCCCACGGTACCCCAATGGGTGTTTAGGCCTTAGGCATTCGTGGTAGTTGGAATATAAAAAAAAAAACAAAAAATATGATAGGTTTTGGTTATTATTATACCTGTAAATCTACATATAGGCAGCGCTGTGGCGAAGAGGTAGACGCTACCTGTCTAATAATCAGTCACCGTCAGCTGCGCGGGTCTGAATCCCGTCCCAAGAGGAGTTTTTTCTTAGCTATGGATGCTGTGACTGTCCGTAGGTGGTAAACGGTCTCAGACTGTCGAACATGGTGGAACCACCCGACGGATCCCCAAGGCGAGTCATATTTTTTTTTAACATACCGGTGCCCTGGCTTCTGCTTGCGCGGCTGCTATCAGGAATGTTTGTGTGTCGCATGCACACGTCTCGCTAGAGTCCCCCATTTCGGGAAGCTTTATGCGTAAAAAATATACCACTTCTGTAACTTAAAATAGTGCAACTTGTGGACTATACAAATTTGCTACAAGCCCCTTTGGCTTGTGCTCAAAGACCGGCACCCGGTCAGATCGCTCGTAAGCGTTAGCTTTTGAATGTGTGATAGCTTGCTAGCTTGCCAAGGCTTACCAAGTGTGGGGATGAACGTAGAGATTGATGTTCATTTGATACTCAGGCTCTGACTCTGACACTGTTTATTGACCTGTTTTCATTCAGATGATACAAACCTTATGCATCAGATTTTCTTAAGGGATCCTTATTCATACAGCATAAACTTATCCCTCCTCTATCAATACTATCTAATATCCTCTTGGAATAAACGCATTTTACTCATCCCCCGGCATTCGATAGCATTGTTCACACGTAGTTTCTCGTACTGGGCATCCAAACTATATAACCGCTTGCCAACTGAGTGAAAAGAATCCAGCGTAGGCAACTTTATAAAAAGGTTAAAGATTACCTTAAAGCAATCGGTTGGCTTGATTTCAACTTTACACATCTCTACAGGTAATTGATTGCTTTCTTTCTCTGTGAAGTGAAATATCTTATGCTTTTCCTTTTCGATGATCAATGTTGTAAACATGTTTAAAATTTATGTATTTTTTTTATCAAATGTGGAACTACATTTTTGTCTTTTTTCTTTTTCCAGTTGAGTCTATTATTTTCTAAATGTAGTTATTATTATTTCACGCGGTTTTCCCTAGTGTGCATTTCGAAAAAACCCTAGTGCGCCAATGTCCAACATCTATACTGAAGGAGCCTTACTAATAATAATTTTAGTATCCCAGATAAACAACATATTTCTCAGCAGGCGCGCGTGTCCATTTAGATAAGTGATTTTCAAGAAAAATATATAAGAGGCTTTTACAAGCCATAAATAATAACGGATAATGCATGGATAGCTTGATAGCCTGAAATGAATACCTGATAATGCATGTCCTAAATTATATTTGGTCGGCTTCAATTTCAAGAATCATGATTCAGTATTATTACAAGCATTTGAGTTATGAGTATTACCAGAGTCATTTAAAAGCAGCCGATCGGGCTTACTACACAATCATGAGGAAAGCAACGTTCTGCATTGATTTACCTATACTACCTAAATATAGCCAACCATACTCTGTATTCCGGTGCCTTAAAAAGGATCTGAAAGATACTAGCGCCATCTATGAAATAGTGTATTGGAGTGTTGGAGTGTTTGGTTCTGCTACTATCTCATAGATGGCG